AATGCTAATGGAATCAAAAAGAACATCCATTCTTACCTGTTTCACATGTGAAAGAATGTTTTTGTGGGCAAATAATAGATGTTGATAATTTAGATTGGCTTATACAATACCAAGCATGGCATTAGATTTATAATAAGCACGTTATAAACTTTTACTGACTGATCAGCTTCTGTGTGTGTGTGTGTGTTTTAATTTCACAGAATGTTACTACTTATTACTTGCAGCCTTAGTCTTTAACCAGCTTTAAGATTTTGTTTCTGTTTAGCTGCCACATTTGTGGATGGTTGCCATTTATTAAGGTCTTTTTTTTTGTTGTTTATTTTATTTTATTTTATTTTTTTAAGGAATCAACAGGAAAACAGTATTTTTGTGTTGTTTCTCCAAAAATATTCTTACAAATAAAAAAATAAAAAACAAACCTGTTGCTGTCGAGTAGATTCCAACTTATAGCGACCATATAGGACAAAGTAAAACTGCCCCCCAGTTTCCAAGGACTGCCTGGTGGATGCAAACTGCCAACTTTTTGGTTAGCAGCCATAGCTCTTAACCACTACACCACCAGGGTTTCCATTTTTACAAATAAGTAGTTTATTTTCTTTGAAATTATTTGAATTGTAGCAGGCCAAACATCACAAAACATAATTTCCTCTGTTAGCTTTGCTAAACCAAAGTTAGTTGATACTAGTATTTTTTTTTGCATAGATTAATTTATTTGGGCCAAGACCACAATCATTTCTAAGGCCTCTCTACTCATGTTTTCAAATAGAATGCTTTAAGATCATAGTTTCAATTTTTAAAACATAATTTTAGTTAATATTAGTCAATTAATTGATATCCCAGTTATATCCTTCTTCTTAAAAACCTTCAGGGAAAGGAAAGCTGGTAATAGGGAACCCAAGGTTGAGTAAGGACAGTGTTGACATGTAGTGGGGTTGTTAACCATTGTCATAGGGCAACATGTGTACTAACTGTTTAATAAGAAACTATTTTGTTCTGTAAACCTTCATCTAAAGTGAGAATAGCAGCACAACTGGAAGAACGTAATCGATGTCACTGAACT